CCACCTCTTAGATAACTATAACTTTAAAAATAACTATAACTTGCACAGTTGACATAAAACTAGCCAGCACATGGGGTTCCAGACACAGGCCCTCATCCTTATTCAGAAAGCATTTTTACCCACTGAGCCATCTCTCTAGACCAAGAGAAGACTTTTTACTGGGTCTTGTGCTGTAACATCAGGCACAGTACAGATGTCTTTCCTGGATGGAAGTAAAAGTAAGGAATATGATATGGGTGTTAAATAAGGGACTGTGGTTTCACCAATAACAGGCCTTATCTGGGGCCACGAGGAGAAATGTCTCCTTTTCTGGTTGAAAACAGCTGCATGATCATAGAGAGATCACTAAGGGTTGTCTAGCTGGAATGTAGCTTTCTTTGACTGGTTACAAGCTGTTTGGGGTGGCCAAGGCTGGATTATGTCATTTTAGTGGTCTTCTGAAGCAGCTGATCTATTCTCAACAGTTAGGCTGACAGGAGACAGTTAAGCCACGCCATCAGTGCTGATGCCACTTGGAAATCAGACAGGCTGATTCATGTCTGCAGTCTCAGTATTTGGGGGGCTGAGGCAGGAGAATCACTTCAAGTCTGAGGACCACCTGGGCAAAATAGTAAGGCCACTTCAAACATTAAAAAAAGAAGAAGAAGAAATAAACAAGATACAGCTTGGCTGATAGATCCTTCTCCAACCTGGCAGGCAAAAGAAAGGCCTCAACAAATGCTTCCTCTGTTCTCCCAGAAAGCACTTAAAAATATGTTTATGGAGAATTAAGGAAAGCTCTGAAGAGAACAAGTCTAAAAGCAGTTATTAACAACACTTAAGTATTTACACTAATATCTGGTAGTGTTTAATCTCACTCCAAAGGGAAAGTGGGCCCCTCTGATCTGTCTCATAGCTCCCTGACCTTGGAATTCCATCTTAAAGAGGTATGAGAAAATTCATTACTGTCATTTAATCTGCCCAGCTATGCTATTTGCTTACAACATTCAAGCAAACTAAGACAAGAAGCAAGCCAACAAAACTACTTAGGAATGAACAGACCACACAGCAAACTAACACTGTAGCCTTAGGCTTCCAGGATGTTGACTTTAAAAGACCAGAAAGGTTAGGTGTGTGATGACTCAGACCTATAATTCCCGCTTTGCGGAGGTTGGAGGGAGGAGGATCAGAGTTCAAGGACGGGCTTTTCTCTCTACTGTTTTAGCCCAGTCTGTGTTAGACAAGACTCTGTGTGGTTACTGTCTATTGTCAATTCGTCGGGCTCTAGAGTCATCTTCTGAAAGATAGGCTGCTGTGAGGGATTTTATTGCTTGCATTGATAGGTAAGGGAAGATGCACCTTAATGGTGCGTGGGCTCACTCCCTTTCAGGATATATCCTACATTATATATAGCGCAGAAGGCAAGTGGGTGTTGGGGGTGGTGGGGGGGAGATGACTGGTAGACTAAAGTGATTGCTAAGCCTGACAACTTGAGTTCAATTATGGGAACCTATGTGGTGGAAGGAGAGAACTGACTCCCACAGGTTGCCCTCTGATCTTCACGTGAGCCCCAAAGAATATGCACATCTCTTACGCGCACAGGCAGATTTCTGAGGGAGCATAAAGAGACAGAGGCAGGAAAAAAAGCCAGCCTGCCTCCAGCAGGAGAGATTGTTTATTTCAGACAGTGAGGGGCTGATACTATCCAGCAGGAAAGGAGGAAAGGGATACCTGTGAAAGGCAAAGGGAATACTTGGAGTTCTTATAGGAGTTTTGAAGAGTGAGAAGTTAAATGTGAATTCTGGGGTTCCATGCAAGCCCGAAGTTTCTCCTCCTTGTAACTTCTACTCTGTTGAGACAGGCTGACAATTGTTTGAGAAGCCAGTTATTACTTCCTAAGAATTTTATATTTTTTACAACCAGGGCAATCTATTATACATAATGAATTAAATTTAATACTAAATAAACCTAAAATGATGTGGAGAAAGCAAGCTGAGACCAGCATGGTTTTATAGCTGTTTTCTTACCACAGATGTTATATGACCAAATACTTCAGGCTCCAGCTGCCTTGACCTGTCCACCACGATTGACTGTAATTTAAACTGTGAGCTAAAATAAGCCATTCTTTCCTCACGTTGCTTTTGTCAGGGTATTTTCTCATAGTAACAGAAAATGAAACTAAGATATTCTGTATCAAAAATAAACATCAGAGGGCTGGAGAAATGGCTTAGGGGTTAAGAGTACTGACTGCTCCTCCAGAGATCCTGAGTTCAATTCACAGAAACCACATGGTGGCTTACAACCATCTGTAATGGGATCTGATAGTGTGATCTGATCTTCTAGTGTGTCTGGAGAGCAACAGTGTCAACAAACAAACATCAGAGTCAGGCGGTGATGGTGAACACCTTCAGTCTCAGGCAGAGGCAAAAGGATCACTGAGTTGGGGGCCAGCTGGATCTACAGAGTGACTTGTCTCAAAAAAAAAGCCCAAATCTAAAATGTATAAATAAATAAATAAATAAAAATAAAACAAACATCAGTTTAAAGGCAGAAGCTGGTGGATCAGTGTGAGTTTGAGGCCAACCTGGTTTTACATAGAGAATTCCAGGCTAGCCAGAACTACGTAGAGAGGATGTGTCTTGGAAAGAAGGGAGAATTTTGTTTTGTATAGTGTTCCCAGAAGGAAGCCATACCTCTACTGACCCTTCTACAAAGGCCCATTGCCATTGGAGTTTAGAATGTCAGATCACCTGAGGCAAATGGCAGGAATTTCCCTGCTTTCCTGTAACCCTCCAATATATTTTAAATATATCCTGATTTATAGCTTTCTTTGTTCTGTTACTGCGAATACTTGATGAAACTGTTACCACAATGTCCACCATAGGCTCATATATTTGACTGCTTAGTCATGGGGAGTACATTTCTGTGATCTGGCAATATTTGTTTTTGTTTGTTTGATTTTGGTTTCTCAAGACAGGGTTTCTCTGTGTAGACCTGGCTGTCTTGCAACTCTGTAGAATCTTTTTAAAAAGATTCCTCAGGAACCCTGCCTCCTTTCGGACAAAAAGGAGGTTGCAGCAAGAGCATGGCCCGGCGATATGCAACTCTCCGTTCAAGCTCGGATACTTTCTGTTTCTGACTGTGATAAATCAGTTTTTCGCGCGAATGGCTATTTATTCCATGTCTTTTCTGATTGTTTTTGTCACATCTACCGTTTTCCAGGTCTTGCGAATTCATGAGACTTCAGACTCCATTTGCTCCTGAAGGAAGAGCTTCTAGGAAACTGTGCCAGTTCTCATACGACACAAGTAGCTCAACACACAATGCCGCTTTTGTGCTTCTCTGTGTGTATTCAAACGAGACAAAAGCTTAAGTTTAGAAAACCAACACAAAGCTGGTTATGGCTTTTTACAATACCTAATTACCAAGCCCCATAAAGCAACCAGATATTCTTCAAGGAGTGGATAAAAGGATATGCTTTTAATGGAGTATTACTGAACTCTGAAGTGAAACTTGCTTCCTGCTGTCCCAGGAAGTTGCTGTTCCTGCAAGTCTCTTAAGGAAGGAGACTGTGGTAGTTTCTTGATGCTTGAGGCCAAACGTATGACACTCTGGACAGGGCAGAATGGTTGTAGAAGTCAAGTCCAAGGCCTGGGGAGAGCAGGACCCTGAGGGCAGCCTAGAGGATCTGTAGAAAGAGTGAAACTGGCCCTGTGAAGACAAAGCGTCACTACCCCGGTGTCCAACCCCGTGGGATGTCCAGAATGGACTGCAGCAGATTTTAACTAATCTCTGTGTGGCCAAGGTTGAGCTCAAGGCTGAGCTCCCAGGGAGGCTGCTGGAAACCTTGTATCTTATGTTTGGTTTTTCCTGAGTCCCAGACTCCTCTAAGGATAAATTCTACAAAGACTTCTTTAAAGAGTCTGTTTAGGAACAAAAAGACCCAGAGAGGGGGGAACTTGTGTCGAAAATGCAGTTGAGGGGCCGAGCGAGCAGTTTCCCAAGTTTTAAAGAACTTTTACTTAAGAAACAGGGAAGAATCGATCGTTTTTTCCAAACAAGATGTGCTGCGGGCCCATATCCCGGCTCGGGCCTTCGAGTCCCTCGACGGAACAGGGATCGGGGGACATCGGGCACCACAAGAGCACACAGGAAGCATGGGGCGCTAGGGTGCCAGCAGGGGAGCAGCGCATGCGCACTTTGGGAGGCGCCAGACCGCATGTGCACCTTGGGGGCCCGAGTGACTCAGCGCCTTCGCTTCCTGCGTTATCTTGGGCCTCATGGGAGATATGCAAATGAGCTGGAGCATCATGGGCGTTGGCTCTTTATAAGGCCGCGTTGCTTAGCGCTCAGAGACGAGAGCTTGGGTTCGGCGGCCATTTCCTGGCTTCCTGGGAGCTCGGCCTGGGAGGTAAGGACGGGAAGGGGCCGAGCCGGGTGCCTGGGACTGGGTGGACACTGGGCCTGGGCCGGGTGGGAGTGCGGTGGGCAGAGAGGAGGGCCTGGCTGAGGCTTCCCGGCCTCCTTGGTCGGTAGCCAGGCCCAAGTGTGAGGTTGGGGCCTTGAGCCCTGAGGGAACTCCCGAAGCTGTGGGTGTGGGGAAAGCACCCCAGCCTGCTCAGAGTGAGCAGTGAGCCCCGGGGTCCAGAGCCCCAACACCCCTCTCCTCAGTGGTCCCAGGAGCGTGCCCAGCAGGGGGAGCCAAGCCTCATTTCCTCTGCCTTTCTAGGTCGCCAGACGTTGTAGCAAGTGTGAAGCTGAGGAACTTTCTGGAAGCCCAAGCCTGTCTGCTTCTCCTGAGAGGTATTCATTGAATTCCTACCCAGTTCTCGTACCACTGCCCCGTGTCCCGGAGCCCCAAACTCCCTAACCCTCCTACTGTACCCCATTTTCTCCCGCTTCTCACATTCTTGACTTTTCCACCTATTTTTAGCGTCTATGGTCCTGTTGACTTGACCTCCTGACCCATCGAGCAAGTCTTCCTCTGTGTGCCCACTTAGCTGCAGACAGACTTTCTAGCCATGTGTCCCCCAGTCAGTGTTCGCCGTGCGGCCAAGGGCATGTCGTCCCTCTATCAAGCCTGGCTGTACCATCTTGTCCATGGAGAACAGATGAAGATCTGTTTCGCTTGCTTCAAGGCAGCTTTCCTGGTCGTTAAGAACATGCTGGAGATGGGAAACTGGGGAGGGGAAGTGTGGGATGCTGAACCCGCGGCAGGATCAGAGGCAGGATCTGAGCCGGAGGAATGGCCCGAGCTTAGCTTGGGAGGGGGCCAAGGTCATCTGCCTCATGGCAACTCTGCCTCTGCAGGTTCTGGGGCTGTGGCCCCCCCAGGCCTTGTAGGGGGGATAGGGCTGGGACCCCAGCCTGTGCCCACTGAGCTGGGGCCTCAGGAAGCTGTACCCCTGGATCTGGGTCCTGAGGATGCTGAGTGGACCCAGGCCCTTCCCTGGAGATTTGAAGGCCTTTCTCCCTGCTCCCACTGGCTCATCCCTCCTCTGTCCTGGTGGGATATTTTCAATGTAAGCCCGTCTCCGGGGCAACCTATATTGTTGGAGTTGAGCCCCACCTGGCCCATGGACCCGGTGGAAGCAGAAGCTTGGTTGGTAGACCTGAAGTTTGTTTTCCTTTTGGGTGGCTTTGATGCTATCTGCTACATGCTGTCAATGTCTCCCTGCTGGGCTGTGAGAACCCGTGTCCAGCGCTGGCAGGTGTTGCTGGACCCCGGTGAGGTGAGATTGGCCCAGCTGCAGAATGCACCTGAACAGCAGGACCTGCGCCGCTGGAAACTGAGCATCGTGGAGTCCTCAGAGCTGGGGGTGGAGCTGGTGCCTGCTGACTGCAGGCTGCGGAAGGGAGGCTTCAAGGTGCACTCTTACTTGCCCTGGCACAATAGCACCCCAGAGGCCTGGAGCAGGGAGCCAGGGGAGAGGCTCCTTGTTGTAGATGTTGTATCTCTGAGGGAGTTGCCCTGCTTCCGTTCCCCCTCCCCTGATCCACACGACTAAGGGATTGATGCTTGTACCACCCCCAGGACCTGTGAAGAGCCAGAGGTTGCCTCAGCCACAGGTGAGAGCCATCATCTTGAGGGGAGGATCTGGATCAGCCTTGGGTCAGGGGCCTCAGGGAAGCCTGGTTTAGTTGTCCTTAGTTGACTGTTCAGTGTTTGGAAGGGTAGACCAGCTTTGTGTACAGGGGGAAGACTGTTGTGTAGCAAGTATTATGGGGGATGGGTCACTGGTCCTTCCCCAGTTCTGCCCTAGTTGCAGGTGGGGACACTAGAAGTGTGACACCAAGTCAGGTTGGTTGACCCCTGTGTTCTGTACTTGGTTCTTTCCGAGAGGCTGTAAGTCCTGAATTCAGAATTGACTGCTTGTGCTACTTGTTCAGTTCCTGCCCTGTGCATGTTTCTGTTTTAATAAAGTTTTGCAATCTCTTCATTGGGTCCCAATGGGTTGTTTGTCTCCTCCTGGGTGAGTTAGCTCACTGGCTTAAGATCCCACAGAGCTGGCAAGGAGATCTTGGGTCTGGTCTGTTTGCTGGATCACATGGTAAGTTTGTTTCAAGTGTAGCAGCCACATCTTCATAACCAGAAGAGGTAGGTTTTTTTTTTCTCCTGTGTGGATGAGGTCTTATCACACAGATTGATAACACAGGTTTTCAATCCCAGAAGTAGCATTAGAAGCTTAAGGTCATCTTTATCTCCATATAGAGTTTGAAACCAGTCAGGGCCAGTGATAGCCACAGTCAAAAAAAAAAAAAATCAAAGTTGTTTATTTGTTTTGTTTGTTTTTCCTAGTAACAAGAGTCAACCACTGCCTGATCCTGGCTGTCCTGGAACTCTCTGTAGACCAGGCTGACCTTGAACTCAGAAATCCGCCTCCCTCTGCCTCCCAAGTGCTGGGATTAAAGATGTGTGCCACCACTGCCCAGCTATAATTGTGCATTCTTTTCTAAGATGAAGTCTCTTTGAGAAGCCCAAGCTAGTCTTGAACATTTGGCTGTTTTTCTCCCTTGGCTTCTCAAGTGCTTGGGTCATATGTACAGGCCTCTATGTTTCAGGAAAGAAGCAATCATCTGTTAATTGTCCTGAGGCTGAGTACATGAATCTAACCCGGGTTCTACATAAATGTCCCCTGTGCTGTGGGATGGGGTACATGGTATGGAGCCCTGCCGTAGCTCTGTTTTGCCCACCCACTGAGCTCTGTGACCTGTTGGTGACTTTTACCCATCCAAGGGTCCTGGAAGCTGTTACACAAAAGCTCATCTGTGTGCTTTGGTCGTCTCTTGTCATTCATGCATGCTGATCAGCACCCCTATGTGGTCATGGCTTAATCATGTTCCATTTGTTTTATTTGTGTATTTGTGTGTGTGTGTGTCTGTGTCTGTGTCTGTGTCTGTCTGTCTGTCAGTCTGTCCCTGGTGTGTGGCTGCCTATCTTAAGGAACTGGAGTTAACAGCTGTTGTGAGCCACCTGACCTGGGTGCTGAGAACCAAACTCTTGGTCCCCGGAAACTGCAATTCAGTGGTTTGAATGGGATGTCTGCCATAGTTTTCAGCATTTGAATACTTGGGCCCAGTTGCTGGCACTGGTTGTGGGCTGCTTAGGAGGCCTGGTATTGTTGGACAAAGCTTGGCACTGGGGGCAGGCTTTTAGAACAAAAAGACTTGTACCACTTTGAGATATCCCTCCCTCCTGCTTGCAAGTTAAGATATGAGCTCTCGGGGCTGGTGAGATGGCTCAGTGGTTAAGAGCACTGACTGATGTTCCAGAGGTCCTGAGTTCAAATCCCAGCAACCACATGGTGGCTCACAACCGTCTGTAGTGAGATCTGATGCCCTCTTCTGGTGTGTCTGAAGACAGCTGCAGTGTACTCATATACATTAAATAAATAATTCTAAAAAAAAAAAAAAAAAGATATGAGCTCTCAGTTTGTGTTCTAACCAACATACTGCTTGCTGCTATGCCTTTCTGCCATGAAGAATACCTTCTGGAACCGTATGCCCAAATAAATTTTTCTGGAAATTTCTGTGCTCATGGTGTTTTAGCATATCAATAAAAAATAACTAACACAAACAGCAGTTGCTGACAGCTGCAGAGACATGTGTTTGCTTTATGGAAGACGGAGCTCAGAACCTCAAGCATGCTAGGCCAATGCTCTGTCAACACGTACCCCCCCTGATCTTTTTATTTTGAAATAGGATTTTTTTTTTTTTTTTTTTTTTTTGGTTTCTCAAGACAGGGTTTCTCTGTGTAGCCCTGGCTGTCCTGGAACTCACTCTGTAGACCAGGCTGGCCTCCAACTCAGAAATCCGCCTGCCTCTGCCTCCCAAGAGCTGGCTTTGAAATAGGATCTTACTAAGGCTTACCATGATTTTTTAAAACAATTTTGTTTTTATTTTTACATATATATGTATGTGCAGTGTGTGTATGTACTGCCCACAGAGGCCAGAAGAGGGTACCAGGTCTCCCTGAAACTGGAGTTGAAGATGATTGCCAGCTGCATGTGAGTGCTAAAAACCAAACCTGAGGTTCTCTGCAAGAGCCACAAGCTCTTAACACTGAGACATCTCGCCAGCTTCTCACTTACCAAAAATCAGATCAAATGATAAGAAGGCACTCTGCCTGGTCACCTGTCTTCCAAGGACAACATACATGGTCTATGTTTTTGTATAGGCGTTTACAAATTTCTCAATTTAAAAACATGTAAAAATGTAGTCTCCATGTGTTAAGAAGCCTAACAAAACAGAACATAAGCTTACATCCAGCCAACCCCTCTGAGAAAGCTCTGAGGGTGGTTTTATCCATCAATTAGTCTAGAGCCTGCAGGGTCTGTGCAGATGACAGTTCCAAGGAGGAAGCAGGGGAACCAACTAGGCCTGTGCCCTTCCTTTCAAGTACCCATGCTGCCAGGCCTGGATCTGGACTCACATAGGCACAAGTGCTGTAAACATGTCTGTATGTATCATTTGTTCAGGTGGCCAAGGAAGCCAGAAGACGGTGTAAGATCCTCTAGACCGGGAGATACAGGGAGTTGTGAGCTGTTTGATGTGGGTGCTGGGAACCTGGGTCCTCTGCAAGAGGAGTTCATGCACTTGTCCACCCAGCCATCCTTCCATATCCCATTTTTTAAAATTTGTTTTAATATATGTTGGTATGTATGAGTATGCATGCACGTGTACGGGTACACACACACAAGTATGGGTGCCTGAGGAGACCAAAGAGAGTGCTGGATACCCCGAGAGCTGGAGTTACAGGAAGTTGTGAGCTGCCTAATGTGGTGCTGGGCTCTGAGCTTGGGTCTTCTACAAGAGCAATACACACTTTAAACTGCTGAGCCATTATTCCAGCCCCGGGATATCACTCTTGTAGTCTTGGCTAGCCTTAAATTCTGAGCAATCCTCTTGCTTCAGCTTTCCAAGTGTGGGGATTTCAGGTGTCTTGACACCACATTTGGCAAGAAGTGGTATAGAAAGAAATACTGTGTATGGATGTGGCACCTGTCAATAATAAATCTGTTGGCCTATGGCTTAGGCAGGAAATAGAAGGTGGGACATCCGGGCAGCAGAAAGAATTCTGGCATAGAGCCAGGCAGGGGATCTGCTCAGGAAAGATGTGAGTAGATGCACACATGGTACTTGACCACAGGTAGCCAACCACATGGCAGAATATAAGTTAAAATAAACGGGTTATCCTAAGTTATGATTCTAGTCAGAGAAGAGCCTAACTATATGGCCAAGGTATTTGTAAATATATTTTGAGTCTTATTTCTGGGAGTATGGGACTGGGAAGAAGAACCAGAATCTAATTACAACAAAGTAATCTTTGAGCATCTCTGAGCATCACCACAGAATGTAATGGACTATCTGGGGATGGCACTGGGGTTATGTATAAATGCTCAGGCCATAACCTTTTGCTTGCTGCCCAATTAGCTTATAACTTAATTCCGCAGTCTCTTTCCCTCTTTAGTTTTTAGTTTTTATTTGTATAAATGCTCAGGCCACAAGCTTTGTCTTGTTCCCTGACTAGCTTGTAACTTACTTACCTGTTTATTCATTTTGTGTCTTTCATGTTGTTGGTTACCTCTCCTCAGTTTTACACGACTGTCTTTTTCAGCGTTCTGGGTGAATCTTTGATGCCTGACTCTTTCCCAGAATTCCTCTCTCTATCACTGCCAGAACTCCCGCCTCCTATTTCTTTCCTCAACTTATTGGCCATAGGCTTTTTTTTTTTGGACAGGAGATGCTTCCATGCAGTTCACTAGAGATTCTGTCTACAGGGGAGGGTGTCACCTTACCCAGCTCCTTACCCAACCTCAGGCCCACCTTACCCAACTCCTGATCTATACAGTGTCTGACCGCCATCCAGAGCTGTGTATCATATATGCACTCCCCAGCACACACTGGCACTTGCTATTCTCTAGAGCAGTGGGCCTCAACCTTCCTAATGCTGTGACACTTTAATACATGTTGGGTGACCCCAAACCATAAAGTTGTTTTTGTTGCTACTTCATAACTCTAATTTTTCTACCATAATGAATCATGATATAAATATCTGAGATGCAGGATATCTGATATATGATCCCTGTGAAAGGATTCCCCCCTCACCCACAAAGGCATCTTGACCCACAGGTTGAGAACCATTGTTGTAGCGATTCCTGGAAGTTTGATTGATGCCTTTGGGGTTTGGAGTCCTGAAACATTCTCCCACATCCCAGGGTTCTTGACCTTTGAATCTTGACCTTTGAACCACAGAGAATACAGGCTTTCTCCCTCCTACCCTTTTTTTGCCTTCTCCACACAGCAGACCACAAAGCCAGAGATGAGGTAAGCCCTGTCTTGGTAACCAACAGCCATATGCAGGCCCCTGTGTGTCAACTGGCCACAAGCCTGTAGTAATAGGTACTGCTAGCCCTGAACTCTGGCAGAGACAATGAGTGAAGCCACCTTCCCTATTCCACCCAGGCCCCTATAGCAGAGGTACTTCTAGGTGCCCAACTAGATGCTG